AATAACAGTATCTAATATGAATACTAAGGTGTTTTATGTCAGGCAGCAGAGGGATTAATAACAGTAATTATTATTATTATTATTATTAATAATAATAATAATAATAATATATATGTGTGTGCAGGCTGCAGGAGGCGCAGCAGCAGCAGCGCAGCGTGCACCAGGAGAAGCTGCAGGTCCAGCAGCGCCTGCAGGGCGAGGTTCTGTCGGCCCGACAGGAAGCTCAGCGCCTCCGAGAGCTGAGGGGGGGGGGGGACCTGAGGGGGGGCGGGAGGGCCGAGCACCAGCTGGACCAGGTACTACCTATAATACACACTTTAAAGGTCTCCTATTATACTTATCTTAGGCATATATTACAGGTCTCAGATATAAAAACATGTCTCTGAAGCGTCCTGCTCCAAACCCCAAACAGATCCTTGTAGCCCCCCCCTCTCTCCCAGCTGTTACTAAGGACATGTCTCTGAAGTGTCCTGCTCCAAACCCCAAACAGATCCTTGTAGCCCCCCCCCCCTCTCTTCCAGCTGTTACTAAGGACATGTCTCTGAAGTGTCCTGCTCCAAACCCCAAACAGATCCTTGTAGCCCCCCCCCCTCTCTTCCAGCTGTTACTAAGGACATGTCTCTGAAGTGTCCTGCTCCAAACCCCAAACAGATCCTTGTAGCCCCCCCCCCTCTCTTCCAGCTGTTACTAAGGACATGTCTCTGAAGTGTCCTGCTCCAAACTCTCTCTCTCTCTCTCTCTCTCTCTCTCTCTCTCTCTCTCTCTCTCTCTCTCTCTCTCTCTCTCTCTCTCTCTCTCTCTCTCTCTCTCTCTCTCTGTGTAGGTGCGCTGTGCTCTGAGGAAGGCAGAGATGGAGCTGGGTGCCCCCCCCCTCTCCCTGCCCCCCCCCCTGGGTCTCTGGCTGCAGCTGACCCACGAAGTTGAGTGTCAGAACTACAGCCTGAAGAAACAGAGCGCTGAGAAACAGCTGCTGCAGGCCCGGGAGGGGGTGAGGATTTGAAGAAATATGTTAAAAAATAAATCTAGAAAGAGCGAAAAAATAGTGGTTAAAAGTACGAATGTAAAGTCTTGCTCTTTGAACTCAGTGAACGCAGCGCTGTTGTGTTTCCAGGCGGAGAAGATCAGGAAGAAGAGGACCTCTCTGTTCGGGACGTTCCACGTGGCTCACAGCTCCTCCATGGACGACGTGGACCACAAGATCCTCTGCGCCAAGTCAGTGCCTCAGAAACATTTACATTACATTACATTTAGCTGAGGCTTTTATCCAAAGCGACTTACAATAAGTGCATTCAACCAGGAAGATACAAACTTGAAGAAAACAGAATCATATAAGTACATCAGGTTTCATAGAGCCAAAACATTTCAAGTGCTACTCAACTAGCTTTAGATAAGCCAGTCCTTTGTTAGTATATAAGTGCTTTGTTAGTAATTCTTTGTTAGTAATTCTATCGCTCGAAGTGGAGTCGAAAGAGATGAGTTTTCAGTCTGCGCCGGAAGATGTGTAAGCTTTCTGCTGTCCTGATGTCAATGGGGAGCTCATTCCACCAGTTTGGAGCCAGGATAGCAAACCCACGTGTTTTTGCTGATGGGAACTTGGGTCCCCCTCGCAGTGCGGGTGCAGCGAGCCGTTTGGCTGATGCAGAGCGGAGTGCACGTGCTGGGGTGTACGGTTTAACCATGTCCTGGATGTAGGAAGGGCCAGATCCATTCACAGCATGGTACGCAAGTACCAGTGTCTTGAAGTGGATTCTAGCAGTTACTGGAAGCCAGTGAAGTGAGCGGAGGAGCGGCGTGGTGTGGGAACATTTAGGAAGGTTGAAGACCAGACGAGCCGCTGCATTCTGGATGAGCTGCAGAGGTCGGATGGCACATGCAGGTAGACCAGCCAGGAGGGAGTTGCAGTAGTCTTGGCGTGAGATGACGAGAGCCTGGACCAGAAGCTGCGTGGCGTTCTGGGTCAGGAGGGGACGTATCCTCCTGATGTTGTAAAGAGTGTATCTGCAGCAGCGGGTTGTAGCAGCGATGTTTGCAGTGAAGGACAGGTTGTTATCTAGGGTCACACCCAGATTCCTTGCAGTCTGAGTCGGGGAAACAACAGAGGGGCCGATGTTGATTGTTAGGTCAAGAGTGGGACAATCTTTTCCCTGAAGGAAAAGCAGCTCAGTCTTGTCAAGGTTGAGCTTGAGGTGGTGAGCAGACATCCACTGAGAGATGTCAGCTAGACAAGCAGAGATGCGTGCGACGACCTGGGTCTCTGAGCGGGGAAAGGACAGAATTAATTGGGTGTCGTCAGCGTAGCAGTGGTATGAAAAACCATGCGGGCTAATGACTGATCCGAGCGAGTTTGTGTACAAGGAGAAGAGGAGGGGACCAAGAACAGAGCCCTGAGGGACCCCTGTAGTTAATCGACAAGGGTCGAACTCGGACCCTCTCCAAGTTACCCTGTAGGTGCGGTCTTTGAGGTATGAGGTGAGGAGGGAAAGTGCAGAGCCTGAAACTCCAAGTTCTTGGAGAGTGGGAAAGGGGGATCTGATGGTTCACACTTTAATACACACATAATACACTTTAATACACACATAATACACATTTAATATAAATATACCACACTAAAACACATTAAAACCCTTTAATATACATTTAACACACATTTAACACAATTTAATATACACACAATATACTTTTAATACACATTTAATACACTTTTAACACACTTTAATACACTTTTTACACACATTACATATATACTTATATGTATTACTTATACAGCTGTTTTGTTTACAGCTGTCTAGTGTGCGCTGTCAGATAGGGATGAAGCTACTTGATGCTACTTGGTGTTGTTGTTGCATTAGCTTCAAATTAGCCTTCACATAGCATTGTGGGCGCTAACGGATTAGCTCTGCCCCCAGGCAGGTGCTGAGGGAGAAGCTAATTGATATATATATATTATTATATTTTTACCTGTATTGTTTTTATTTACAGCTGTTGTGTGCGCTGTCAGATAGGGATGATGCTAATTGTTGTTGTTGTTGCATTAGCTTCTCATTAGCCAATCATAGTGGCTCTAACGGTTAAGCCCCGCCCCCAGACAGGCTCTGGCGGAGGTCACGGCGGCTCTCAGGGAGAAGCTGCTCCGCTGGCAGAGCATCGAGGCGCTGAGCGGCTTCTCTCTGGTGTCCAACCCGGGGCTGGCGGCTCTGGCTGCGGCCCTGAACCTTGAGGCCTCCTTCCTGGGGCTGAGACCCCCCCCCCAGCACCTCCTCCTGTCAGACGACCTGGACGACATGGACGAGGACATCCTGTCCCCGGGGACCCTCAAGTGTGAGTCACCACATTTACTCAAGTACTGGAACTAAGTACACTTTAGAGGTACTGGTACTCTACTTGAGTATTTTCATTTTATGCTACTTTGTACTTTTACTCCACTACTAACTTACTTACTGTAACTAAGTAAGTTAGTAAAAGTTTTACTGTCGCTACTTTCACTATATTTTGATGATAATACTTTTCTACTTTTACTTGAGGAACATTTTGAATGCAGGACTTTTACTGTAACAGAGTATTCCTACACTCTGGTACTTCTACTTTTACTCAAGTACAAGATCTGAGTACTTCTACTTTTACTCAAGTACAATATCTGAGTACTTCTACTTTTACTCAAGTACTGTAATTAAGAACACTTAAGAGATACTTGTACTTTACATGAGTATTTCCATGTTATGCTACTGTGTACTTCTACTCCACTACATTTATTTAATACCTTTAGTTACTTTATAGATTGTTACCCGATTCACCTGCAGTGTGTATTTATTTATATAGAAACACTTTGTCCCCGCCCCCTTCCTCTGATTGGTTCCTGTTTTCCCCTCTTCTCTCTGTCTCTCTCCTGATTGGCTCCCTCCAGACGCAGCGTGGCAGATGGACCGCAGAGTGAGCGACCTCTGGCCAATGAGTGGCATCGCAGACACACAATCACCATGGAAACACTCTGGTTAGCCCCGCCCTCTTTCAGCCTCCCCCTCTTAGTAGTTATTTATTTTACTATGAAAATATGTATTTTTATATTGCTCAACTCTTGCATATAATATTCAATTTTAACTAAGTAAGTTTAGTTTCGGGGAAAAAATTAAACTTTTTATTTAACTAACTTTCATAGTTTTTAAGAAGCACTTTCACATTTCTTTACAAATCGAGTCAAAACTTCCTGTTTTTCAGGTTTTTCAAAATAAAACTAATTCTAACTCCCTCTCTTCCTCCTGCAGCTCAGAGTCTGATGCCCCTGCGACAGAGGGCAGGAGACCCCGTGTCGACGTTCAGCTCTCAGAGGTCAGTTAAAGGGCGGAGCTTAACTCTAGATGAGGGGCGGGGCCTGTTCACATTGTCCCGCCTCCTTGGATTTCATTGGTTCAACAAGACAGAAAAGCAGACAGACAGCTGAGTTACTTAAAGTTAAACGATCTGAACTTCTGAGTTCGTAAAGATTAAGAATTTAAGTATTTACAAGTAATCAGGACATTAGCTACGTTAGCTAAGTCAGCTACATTAAGATAAGATAAGAAGTACTTTATTGATCCCAATTCAGGACGTTTTTGTTAGAAACATTAGCTACACATTTTTGTTAGCAACATTGGCTACGTTTGCTATGTTAGCTACGTTAGCAACATTAGCTACGTTAGCAACATCAGCTACGTTAGCAACATTATCTACGTTGGCAACATCAGCTAAGTTAGCTCCTGCTGTCACTCACCCCTCCCTCTTTTTCTCTCAGGGACTTCATGAGCCGCTCCGACTCTGACTCCTCCCTCCCCGTCTCCCACAGCGAATCACGAGGCTCATACGGCTCCAAGCCCCTCCCCCTTTCCTCCAGGCTCCAGGCTCAGGGCTCCGGGGGGGGAGGTGGAGGTGTTTCAGGCCTGGAGAAGAGCTCGAGCCTGGGGGAGCTGAGAGGACACCTGCCCCCCCCCTCCACCCTCAGCTTCTCCTGCTCCACCCGGTCCCTCTGCGTGACCTCCGACCCCCCCGCCGCCGTGGTGCCGGACGGGGGGCAGGAGGGGGAGGCGTCCGTCAGCCGGAGGAGGAACGCCTTCAATAAGATCTTTAAGAAGAAGACTGCACGCCACTGATGACATCACAACTTGAGTTAACAGCTGTTTGACCTGATGGACCGCGTTGGGGTCGGGCCATTGGACCAAAAATCACCAAAAAAAACAGGAAAACAGCAACGTATTCAGCCAATCAGACGTGGATTTCTATCACGGCAAGAGAACCCAAGAGTTTTTCTGGCTGTTAAACTCGGACTTAGGACACAACGACCAGTGGAAACACCAACGAAGAAGAACTAAGGCAGTGAAAGTAGAAACTTTGACAGAAGAAGAACGTCTTGTTGGCTGAAGAGATAGAGAAGTACAAATGGTTGATTCGTTGGGGTCGGGCCATTGGACACACGTGTTGACTGCCATCATACGAATAAATTAAAATGACCAAAAAGCAGCAAGAAAAACGTCAAACAACACGTTTTCAGCCAATCAGACGAAGATGTTTATCACGACAAAAGAACCAAAGACCAACGAAGAAGAACTAAGGCAGTGAAAGTAGAAACTTTGACAGAAGAAGAAGAACGTCTTGTTCGCTGTAGATTTAGAGAATGATTGTTTCAGCATCTTTTAAATGCAACTTCTTCCATGCCAAAGCGTCTCACGGAGCATGTTTACATTCACACTGATTGATATTCCACTTAACTCATCAATATGACTGTAACTGGGCTTCTGAAGAGTCACGTGACTTGTGCTAACAGCTGTTTGACCTGATGGACCGCGTTGGGTCGGGCCATTGGACAAATGTACTGACTACCATCAAATCATTAAATTAAAACGACCAAGGGTCAACAAACGGCAACGTATTCAGCCAATCAGACGTCGATGTTTATCACGACAAGAGAACCCAAGAGTTTTTCTGGCTGTTAAGCGAAGAAAAAGTTTAGATACGGACTCGACAGTGGAAAACCAACGAAGAAGAACTAAGGCATTGAAAGTAGAAATTGCAACCAGAAACTTTAACATATCGCCAAAAATAACGATAAACAGCTAAAGTTCGAGAGAAATGCATGACCCTTTTACAACGTCTACCAAAGTTGACTAAAAGTTGTATTTCCACCTTTGTGTGTTTTTTTGATGTCATTTATTTTTCATTTGTGTCGTGAACATGTTGAAAAGTGAGAATATATCCTGGTTTTTATATATTAGAAATAACTAAAGGAGAGGAGATGAATAGGTCAATGTTTGATGTTCACCAATATACGAGTTTACTACACACACACACACACACACACACACACACACACACACACACACACACACACACACACACACACACACTAATAATGTGAAGCAGTTTATTCACTCTGAACGAAGATAGCTGTCACAAAGTGTTTATTTAAAGCTGTCACTGGGTGGACTACATTACCCACAATTCCCGTTACCTGATGCCAGTGAACTACAAACACGCACCAGAAAAACGTTTTGTTGTGTTTTTATTTATAATAAAGAAACTATTAAAGACTGCTGTGCTTTGATGCTCTGTTCTTCTTCTGTGGTGGATTTACGTCGGTATGAACAGTTTTTAAGGAGCAGATTTGACTGTTTCTGCAGAAAAAGCTGGTTTAAACGTGAAAGTAAATAGTCATATTAGTTGTATGATTAAAGTACATATCAGTGAGCTGCTGTGGCCTTGGAGTTACACACCTACAGACATTTTACATTAAACAAGGAGCTGTTTTTATTACACTTTTGTTGGGTTTGTTACCAACAGACTGGACATATGAATCTAAATATATATGTTTATCTGAAGCTGATTTAACTAAAAAGGTGTTGGAATTTAATCAAAATAATGATCTGTGTGTCTATTGACTGCAGGTGGTGCGTTCACTGACCTCTCTGCTGCTCAGGAGATCTGAGAGACAGAGTGTTTGCCCAGCAGGGGGCAGCACCGAGCTACAGCTCACTGAGAGGACGTCACTTGTATCTGACTCATAAAGGATAATTAATACTTCTCTTTAGTGAATGTAAAACATGAAATGTACCATCAAGGTGGTGTGTTCCTTCAAAATAAAGTTTACAGAGACACATTTCAAAATAAAGCTCTTCAGCTGGGAGCTCAGATTTACTTCAACATGTTGAGAAGTCACGAGTCGAGGTTATAAAGTCCCAAGTTAAGTCCAACGAGTCTCGAGTTAAGATCAAATTTGAGACAAACACATCGTGAGTTAAAACCAACAAATCCATATTTAGGTTTGAAGTTAAGACTCATGAGTCACAAGTTAAGTTTCCAAGTGAACACCATCAAGTCCCAGGATGAGTTTCATTTAGACAAGTCTCTACAGTTCAAATGCAACACCAACAAATGCAAGAGAAGGACAAGTCCTAAGTTAAATCCTAAGTTAAGTTCAACAAGTCCCAATATAAGTTTTAAATTAAGTCCTAAGTTATGTTTCAAAGACGTACAACGAGTCTCGACTTATGTCCCAATTTATCCAACAAGTCCTATTTTACGAAAACCACAATTCCCAAGTTATGTTCCAAGTGAATACTAACTAGTCCCAGGTTATAATTATAATAATAATAATAATAATAGATGACATTTGAATAGCGCCTTTCAAGGGACCCAAGGCCGCTTTACATGGGGAACAAACAAACAAAGGTTACATTTGAGATTAACGACCATGAGTTCCGAGTTCAAGGTCTAAATGAATCTCCATGTTAAGACCAACAAGTCCTAATTAAGGTGCTTTTCCACTACAGGGTTTTAGCTCGGCTCTTCTTTGCTTTTCCACTCGGGGCAGTACCGGCTCACGGGTACTTTTTTAGAACCACCTCAGTCGAGGTTCCAAGCGAGCTGAAAATACGCTAAGCTAGTGACGTGGCCGACCGCTGATTGGTCAGAGAGAATCGTCACAATTGTTGCGCGAGACGGTCCTCAAGCGTCGCATAAGTACCATTTTTAAAACAGACGAGCTACCATTAACAAAGTATTTCTAATTTCAACAAAGTATTTTTAATTTCAACAAGGTACGAGGTTCAGACGCTCCTCCATCTCGTTGCGGATGAAAAAATCCAGCGGGACCTCAACGGCGCAATGAGAAAGTGTTCCAGGAGGTCTCTGTTGGCTGCATACACACACACACACACACACACACACACACACACACACACACACACACACACACACACACACACACACACACACACACACACACACACACACACACACACACACACACACACACACAGCCGGAGTGGCTCCAGTAGGAAAACACACACTGCGTGGTTACTATAGTTACTACCCTGTGATGGAAACGCAGCTTAAATTGAGCCGAACCGAGCCAAGGTGAGTTATACCCTGGAGTGGAAAAGCGGCTTTAGACTCCCCAGTTAGTATCATTTATCCACAGGATACTTTTCAAGATAAATCCAATCGGTCCCGAGTTAGGTTTCAACTTTCCAACAAGTCTTAATTTAGGACCAACTGGTTATAAACTGTTTCCTGCTCCTAGTATCTGTAATAGTATAGATACCTTTCAGAATAAAATCACCATGTCAGGTGATCTTTAACAGTCATGACTTGTGTTAGAAAATGCTTGGAACTTGACTTGAGACTTGATGGACTTAACTTAATTAATTTATGACCAACTAGTTTTAAGTTAAGTCCATCAAGTCTCAAGTCAAGTTCCAACTAAAAAGTACTCAAGTCAAGTCTTTAAATAAGACCAACAAGTCCCAGTTGGTGTCATGAATCTTACTCCAAGTTGAATTCAACATTAACCAAGTTAAGGACACCAAGTCCCGGGTTTCAATCAAGCAAGTGCCCAAGTCTTTAGGACGAACAAGTCACAAGTCCTAAATCTTCAGATATAAAAAGAGTCGGTTCAGTATTTAACGTCATGTTTGTTCTCTCTCCACGTGTCGTTGGCAGACGGTTGTGAAATGTTCCTCTGTCACGCTTCCTGTGGCGTTGATGTCACCTTATAAGGTTTCCTCCTTCATAACGACTCTGTTCCCCCCGCCCACTTCCTGTGTTTCTGCACAAACCGCCAGCTGTGATTGGCCGGTAGGTTTATCTTATAACTCTGACATGAACACACTGGATGATCTGAGAGAGTGTGTGAATGTAGATGTAAGTCCTCTTCATGAATCTGTGTTTCTGTCCGGATGCACCGAGACGCCAGAAAACGCTCCCGTGTCTTTGGTAAAAGTGAAGAAACACCGAAAAGCAGAAATGAAAGATGAAATGTCATCACTTCCTCTTTAGAGCGAGGAGACTTCCTGCCGAGCAACGACAGCTTCATGCTCCCTGCAGAACACCACAAATATCAACACAACAATATATATAATATATCAAAAATACTACATTAGTAGTCGATTTTCTCTTTGTCAAATATATTTAATATAAATCTTTTTACATATTTGTTGCTGTTTTTATAATATTATTTGTTGTATAATGTCCAAATGTTGTCTTAAAATTCTTCATGTTGATAAATATTATCATTATATTTAAGTTATTATTATTGTTGTTATCATTTATTATGGAGCTGCAGCAGCATGTGACCGAACATGAGCCCCCCCCACTATGTGTGTTGTGACTCTGCGTCTATATTTACCCTGCAGGCCTCACACACACACACACACACATACACACACGCACGCACGCACGCACTCACTCACGCACGCACGCATGCACACACACACACACACACACACACACACACACACACACACACACACACACACACACACACACACACACGCACGCACGTACGTACGTACGCACGCACGTACGCACACACGCACACACACACACACACACACACACACACACACACACACACACACACACACACACACACCCTCTCGGAGGCTCGTCGTGCAGATGGAGGTAAACGTCTCTAAAGTTTTTCTCTCTTCGTGTTTCTTCAGGATTTCTGGAAATAAGAGAACTGTTTAAAATGAAGTTAGGGATCAGAGAGGTGTGTGTGTGTGTCTGTGTGTGTCTGTGTGTGTCTGTGTGTGTCTGTGTGTGTGTGTGTTAGACAGTTCAGGAGGATCTGAAGCACGAGGCGGAAACTCAACGACAGAGAGCTTCTGATCTGTGAAGAATAGACGCTTTAATGCAGGCGTTATATTCAGTGTGAGGCAGAGACCAACCAGCGGGTACCTCTACTGCAGACACATAGTCTTAAAAGTCCTGTTTTTAAGACGTATTATCAAGTATTTATTCTGCAGAAAGGTGCCCATGAAAGGGTTTTATTATTATATATAAGTTTATTAGATGAGATGTACTTTACAGAACTACAATCAATTAAATGTAACAAATGTAATTGATTTTTATAACTTATATGTATATTTTATTATTAGATTGTAAGACTGACAAACATATGTTTTAATATTTCAATGTGGAGCCAATTAGAGATTCTTTATGTCCTTTTACTGGGATATTTGTGAGTAGTGGTGCAATGTATTATGAAGTATAAGTACATTCAATATTAGATAAATGCAGTACAAAGGAAATGGACATATTTAAGGATGCTTATGTTCCTCAGACCATGCTTCATGTTTCCAAGTCTCACTGAAATCAGACCGGTATGTTCAGTCATTTGTTGACAGATAAACAAATAAACAGATAAACAACATGGCGTCGCTGCAGGAGAGATCGTGGAGCAGAATTCATTACATTTCAATCTTGCATCTGGTTTTTGAACGTGGCGTTTAGGGACTTTCATTTCTGCTTTAATATTATATGTTGCAGTCAAATGCACTGCAGCACACAGTAACACATTAACAGAGTCACTAAACTAAAATATAAAAATGAAATAATATGAATAAAGAACAATAAATAATAATATATAATTATTAATATAATTATTAATATAAATGAGAATTTTGCACAAACAACATTTAAATATCTAATTTACAAAAAAATAGATTAAACAATACATTTTTTGTTGAGTTGAAAGCCGACTGTCTGACCTTTCCAGCAGGTCTTTGAACGCACCACATATTTGAGGCTCAGGAGATATTTCTCACAGCTACTAACGACTCAGATGTCCTCGAATAAAACCTGGATTATTAAACACACGGTGCAGGAAAACATGTTTTTACACAACGACATGAAGTACTATATTTTAAAGATTTAGTTTGTGGAGTTTTAAAATATTTGTACGCAAAAGTGTTGACATTTAATTTAATTGTGTGCTTCTTATCTGGAGTTTTATTGACGTACAATAACGTGTGTGTGTGTGTGTGTGTGTGTGTGTGTGTGTGTGTGTGTGTGTGTGTGTGTGTGTGTGTGTGTGTGTGTGTGTGTGTGTGTGTGAGGTTACTGCAGGTCACATTCATTAAACCCCTCAGTGAAGTCATAAATAAACACCTCTTTAAAATGATTCAGACATTGTTTACTTCCCTAAAGAAATTCAAATATTGATATTGAGCTCTGGTGGCATGGCAACAGTCGTGGTGGGGACATTTTGGGGAACTTTAAACCACCGCTCTGAGCCGTTCACCAAATATTACTTTTGATTTGTTTTGTGTCTTTGTGGTCGTTAAAGATCATAGTTCTGAATAACAAATATAATATACCATATAATATGTATTTACTTTAAAGAGTCCTCTCCTGCTGATGTTCAGGTGTATATCAGTATGTAGTGTCTCTACTTTAAAGAGTCCTCTCCTGCTGATGTTCAGGTGTATATCAGTATGTAGTGTCTCTACTTTAAAGAGTCCTCTCCTGCTGATGTTCAGGTGTATATCAGTATGTAGTGTCTCTACTTTAAAGAGTCCTCTCCTGCTGATGTTCAGGTGTATATCAGTATGTAGTGTCTCTACTTTAAAGAGTCCTCTCCTGCTGATGTTCAGGTGTATATCAGTATGTAGTGTCTCTGCTTTAAAGAGTCCTCTCCTGCTGATGTTCAGGTGTATATCAGTATGTAGTGTCTCTACTTTAAAGAGTCCTCTCCTGCTGATGTTCAGGTGTATATCAGTATGTAGTGTCTCTACTTTAAAGAGTCCTCTCCTGCTGATGTTCAGGTGTATATCAGTATGTAGTGTCTCTACTTTAAAGAGTCCTCTCCTGCTGATGTTCAGGTGTATATCAGTATGTAGTGTCTCTACTTTAAAGAGTCCTCTCCTGCTGATGTTCAGGTGTATATCAGTATGTAGTGTCTCTACTTTAAAAAGTATTTTCACCCTCTCATTTCATTTCATTTCAAACCTTTATTTATCCAGGTGTATCCCATTGAGATCATTGATCTCTTTTTCAAGGGAGACCTGCTCAAGTAGGTTCCACATGAAACATTAAAAACATAAACAGAACAACAAAAAGGACATCATACAGCATCATTACAGGGATTACAATTTACATAACTATCCACATGAACAGGTACCAACAGCTTCCGATTGAGTAGCATCCAACCGAGCTTTGAAGACATTTAGTGGCACCAGATTGCTCAGTTTCCA